TTTCTATTTGTCTCAAACACTCCAGAAGAACATAAATGAAAAGAGGTGATCAAGCTAATCATTTATACAGATTCGTAAATGTGACATCACACACGCACACATATATCCATCAAGTAGTTTTAAGTGTCTGTTGACATGTTTGCACAGTGACTTTTTATGTACACAGGAACTTGACCGGGGTTAATTGGCAGGTAGGTCCTGAGCTATGTCCACAACCATGCCCTATTCACTATATAGCGCATATAGTTCCCCAGCTGGTAGGGAGGAAACTCTCACAACCACAATTTAAAATCTCACAACTCTTGGCCCACTCAAAGTCCCTCACCATGGTGTGAGGTCTCCCAGCTCATGGCCCAGTCAAAATTTGCTAACACAGTCAAAAGTCTCCTGGCTTGTGGCCCAAATTCTGCTGCCATGTCTCAGGCTTACAGCCCAGTCTAACTCTGCAACTGTGATGTAACATCTTCCAGCTGGTGGCCCAGTCAAAATCCATGACTGCTGTAAAAGTCTTTTGGCACATGCCCCAGGCTAACTACACTACCAAGTTAAAATACCTCCTAGCTCGTGGGCTACTTTAACTAAATTACCATGTTGAAAAGTCTCCCGGCTTGTGGACCAGTCAAATTCGGCAACTGTGAAGAAAAGTCTCCCAGCTCATGGTCCTGTCAAACTTCGCTAACACAGTGAAAATTTCTTTCAGCTTTGGCCCAATCAAATGCTGCTATTGTGGTTAAAAGTCTCCCAACTTGTGGCCCAAATTATGCTACCATGGTGAAAAGTATTCTGGTTTGCAGCCCAGTCGTACTCCACTACCAAGGTGAAAAGTATCAGGCTTGCAGCCAAGTCATACTCTGGTATCACTGTGAAAAGTCTCAGGCTTGTGACCAACTCAGTATTTCTCCACTACCGTGATTAAAAAAGTGTCCCGGCTTGTGGTCCGGTCAAACTCTGCTATTGTCCTGTGAAGTCTCCTGGCTCACTCCTCAGATTAATCCACTACTGCGTTAAAAAAATCTCTTAGCTGGCACCCCCTCAAACTTAATGACAATGGTGAAAAGTCTCCTAGTTAGTGGCCCGGTCAAACTCCGCAACCATGGTCAAAAGTCTCCTGGTTTGTTGACCAGTCTAACTCCATCTACTAAGTTAAAAAATCTCCTAGCTACTTGCCCACTCTAACATCATTACCATAGTGAAAAATCTAACAGTTTGTGGCCTGGTCAAACTCCGCAACTACGGTAAAAATCTTCTGGCTTCTGGACCAGTCAAACTCCGCTACTGAGCTGCAAAAGTTTCCTGGCACATGCCCCAGTCTAACTCCACTACTGAGTTAAAAACCTCCTAGATGATTGCCCACTCTAACTTCATTACCATGGTGAAAAGTCTCCCAGTTGGTGGCCCGGTCAAACTCTGCAAATGTGGAAAAATGTCTTCTGGCTTGTGGATCAGTCAAACTCTGCTACTGCTATGAAAAGTTTCCTGGCATGTGGCCCAGTCAAACCCCATTGCTCTGGAGAAAAATCTCCTGGCTCATGGTCTGTTCCTGCTTTGAGAGGGCCCTCTCTGCTGGCATGGTGAAAAGTCTTCCAGTTAGTGGCCCCGTCACACTCCACTGCTGCGCTGCAAAATGTCCCGGTTCACAGTCTAGTCAAATTCTAACTTTAACTGCTACTGCAGAGAAAAAAACTTCAAGCTTGCAGCTCAGACAAACCCTGGTCCCATGGTATGAAATCTCCCAGCATGTGATCCAGTCTAACACCGCTACTGCAAAAAGAAGTCTCCAGGCTTGCGGCCCAGTCCAGCTCTGCTACTGCAGTGAAAAGTCTTGTGAAAAGTCTACCAGCTTGCTGACCAGACAAATTCTGCTACTCTGGTGAAAAGTGTCCCAGCTTGTGGTCTAGTTAAACTCTGAATATGGAAAAATATCCACACGTTGGGGGTGGATTAAAACAAATGATCAAAGCGCAGACACATGTGTGTGTCCAAAAAACATAACAAAGAATATCCAGTGCATTCCAAGGCTGGCCTTACACCATGAAACTTTGCATACAACATGCAATTTTCATGCAACTTGACAGTTACACAAAGCAATAACTTGGCTTTAGCCAAATTAGCAGAGGTTTAGGTGAGGTTATGGTATATTGCCTCCCATCATTTATGTTGATATTGCATCTTGTGGATGTGTTGCATTCATTTCTGAGGACATGCACAACTGATGCACAGGAAACACCCACACCTGGACAGATCGTCAGTGTACTGTGATGGACTGGCGATCTGTCCAGGTCTGGGTGTTTCTTTGCCTGATAGTGCTCTTTCTAGTGCTGTTTATTTTACAAATTAGTGAATAGTGAGAATCATTCAAACACAGTGCTGGAGAAGCCCTGCACAACAATACCCAATTCAGGTTCATATCAGGACTTGATTCTTAGGTAAGGAGTGTTGTGAGTTAGAAACACAAAAAATGAGCATTAGTTTGGTAATCCAGAACAGGAATTGGGAAACACTGCTCAAATTAATATGGCAGGGGATTACCATGGCTGTGCAGTGCTTTAAATAGCCGAAGTGACCAATTTTAAGGTCACGTCTGTGATGAAAGCTAATAGCCGAACAAGCAGCAAACAAAATCAGCAAAATGAAAAATCTTTCTGCTGTAGATACTTTGAGATTATTTCAGTCAGTACAGTTTTATGTTATAAGGCCAGTGACGTCACATCTGAAAAAGGCTAACATAGTATACTGTGAATAATGAGGTGCCTGAATGTGGAATAGCTTATTAGCCAATATGCATGAACTTGAATTTTTGGTTTATGGGCTGACGTCTCGGACACAAATTTAGCCGAGTTGTGCATTAGTGAAATGACTTTGTGAAGGAATACAACAGACACGTGATTCAGTCCCAGCACCAGGCCTATGGGGAAGCGCTATTAGCCAGTTTTAACAACCTAAACTGGGATATTTTGGATGGTGTGCTGGATGAAATCCCAGTTATGTTCCAGATTTAAGATTATCCTAACTCAGGTCTCTTTGGATTGCTTCTAGTTAGCAGCATCCCAGAGGTCACTCTGTGTGTACACAGGAACTTGACCAGGGTTAACTGGGCAGGTAGGTCCTGGGCTGTCAGCTGGCAAAGGGGAAACTCTCACAATCACAACCTAAAATAGTCCATCACCGTGGTGAAGTCTCCCTGGCTCATGGCCCGGTCAAACTTTGCTAACACAGTCAAAAGTCTTCCAGCTTGTGGCCCAGTCAAATACTGCTACTGTGGTTAAAAGTGTCCAGACTCATGGCCTGGTTGAACTTTGCTAACACAGTCAAAATTCTTCCAGCTTGTGGCCCAGTCAAATACTGCTACTGTGGTTAGAAGTCTCCAGGCTCATGGCCCGGTTGAACTTTGCTAACACAGTCAAAATTCTTCCAGCTTGTGGCCCAGTCAAATACTGCTACTGTGGTTAGAAGTCTCCAGGCTCATGGCCCGGTTGAATGTTGCTAACACAGTCAAAAGTCTTCCAGCTTGTGGCCCAGTCAAATGTGTTTTTCTCATTTTTTAAACTTTTCAATTTCGCTCCAATATGAAAAGAAAAACAACACTCAACCAAACGTACAAAGCTAATGTGGTAAATGTGTTTGTTGGTAGGGCTGGGCAATATGACAATATATATTGTGGCATCAGCAAAGAAGAAGACATGGGAAACATGCTTTAAAGGCAAATGCTCTTTTATTGAACAGACAGAAAGGGAAAAACCACCGCCAAAGCAGCCGAGATAGGAGGCCGGTCACTTCTAGCCATATACTTTGCACTGAAAATGCACTAACTACCCCACAGTCCAGCACAGAATGGCATAAACAACACATGTGCACATCTTTCAGCTAACAGCTACAACTTATTTACAAAGAAATGCTTCTCCTACCACGAGCATGGTGCACTGCTGTGTCTGATCCACTCAGACCAGTGCAACACACACTAACACACCACCACCACGTCAGTGTTACTGCAGTGCTGAGAATGACCCACCACCCAAATAGTACCTGCTCTGTGAGTGGAGCTGATAAAATGGACAATGAGTGTAGAAACAAGGAGATGGTGTGTCGTGCCTGACCGGTGTATATCTTTGCATATCGCCCAGATCTACTTTGTGGTAGGCCTTCAACTTCAAATCCAGCTGGACTTTTGCCCGTTAGCTGCACACAGTCTTCACTTTCTGACACAGATTAATATTTTACTCCACCGAGAGGAGAAATTCGAGCCTTTTACAGACTTTTTTCTCTAAAACAGTTGGTGAGGTAACCGTTACCTCCGGCCGTCTGAGCGGTTCAAACCGCTTTTCTCTCGCTCTGCGGGAACTCGACCGGTGAACGAACCGACTCTTTGAATCGGTCCTTTTCGATCAAGTCAACAAGTCCAACTGAGTCGAGTTTTTTCCCCAGCATCTTTCTTTCTTTGCCTCCTCCCCTCACTTTCTTTCTTTCTTTCTTTCTTCTTTGCTTTCTTTTACTTTTTCCCTTCTTTGTTTTTTCTTCACTTTCTTTCCTTCTTCTCATTTTCTTTCTCTCTTTCTTTATTTACTTTTTCCTTTACTTTTTTATTTCTTTATTTACTTTTTCCTTTATTTTTTTCTTTCCTTTGCCACTTTCTTTCTTGGCTTTGTCTTTTCTTTCTTTTACTTTTTCCCTTCTTTGTTTTTTCCTTTACTTTCTTTCCTTCCTTTCTTCACTTTCTTTAATTTTTCCTTTCTTTCTTTATTTCTTTGTTTTATCTTTCCTTTATTTTTCCCTTCTTTGTTTTTTCCTTCACTTTCTTTCCCTCATCTCCTCACTTTCTTTCTTTCTTTCTTTCTTTGCTTCACTTTCTTTCCTTTCTCTCCTTCTTTCCACATGTATTCAGTTCCTCCTGTCTTCCCTTTTCTTCTTCGTTCCCTTCTGCTTTGTTTGTGTTTGATCGAATCATTGAACCGAGTCACTCCAGGTGAACGGATCCCGGAGAGAGTCGGTTCAGTAGTTCCGGACTGAAAGTTCTCTGAAGTTAAGAGCGGACTGTACCACTGCAGTGAGCGCGCGGGGGGGGTCTCGGTGGGCGGAGGGAGAGTGTGTTCCTGCTGGTCCCGCCTCGACTCAGCTCGGGAAAACTCTTCGGGGGTATAAAATGAACGGAGAGCGCTGCATTATGCAACCGAATGAACTTCGCCTGGTGGTCTTCACGCTCTTTCACACACACCGAGTCGTAGCGCCTGCGCGCGTGCCTGAGCCCCTGTGTGTGCGCGCACGCGTGTGCGACTTTCGTTCCTGAGCTCCGGCGTGGACCGCGAGCCCTCGTCTCTCCTCTCCCTGTGTCTCGCGCTCTGAGAGCCCCGCCGGTGGAGTGAACCATGGCCGGAGACGGCACGGACCAGCGCGCGCTGCAGTACGAGCAGACTTTGGTGAGTCTGTCTGTCTGTTTGACTGTCTGTCTGTCTGTTTGTTTGTTTGTTTGTTTGTTTGTTTGTTCAGTGCAGCTCCAGCGTGTCTGCGCCGCAGCGCTCGGACTGCAGATGGTTTGTTCCTCTTCAGCTCAAACGGCTCTTTCTTGTGTTTTGTTTGGGCACGTGCATCATCTCGTGCTTGTTTTCAGTCGTTTTCGCTTCTTTTAATGTTGTCGCGCGCCTTGATCAGTTGCACAGCAGGTCGCGAGCGCGCAGATGTTTGAGTGAGTGATGAAGCAGCGACACTCAAACACCTGGAGGAGAACAAACTCTCTCTCTCTCTCTCTCTCTCTCTCTTCCCTTCTTCCCTCTTTCCTTCCCTTCCTTCTCTCCTCCTTTCTCTCTTCTTACTTTGTCAGTACTTTCTTTCTGTCCTTTATTTACTTTATTTACTTTGTCAGTCTTTCCTTCTGTCTGTCTGTCTGTCTGTCTGTCTTTTCTTTCTTTCTCTTCTTGTTTGTTTCTGTTTTTGTTTTTCTTTCTTTCTTTTTTCTTTTTTCTTTCATAATTTTCTCCTTTTTGTCTCTGTCTTTCATCCTTTCTTTCTTTCAGTCTTTTCTTTCTGTCTGTCTTTTTCTTCTTTCTTTCTTTTCTTGTTTGTTTGTTTGTTTGTTTGTTTGTTTGTTTGTTTGGGTCTTTCCTTCTTTTCTTGTTTGCCTGTATGTTTTCTTTCTTTTCTTTTCTTGTTTGTCTGTCTTTCTTTCTTCCCTTTCTTGTTTGTTTGTTTGTTTGTTTGTTTGTTTGTTTCATTCTTTCTTTCTTTCACTCTTTCTGTCCTCTTTCTTCTGTTTGTCTGTCAGTCTTTCTGTCTTTCTCTTTTCTCAACTCAACAGGTGTCTGCTTGATCTCAGAGTGAATCGATCTGATTACGATTCCTCAGTAAATGATCTCAGATTTTATTGATTCAGTTATGATCCTTTAGGAAGTCATGAAATCTCCACTTTCACCACGACTCCATTCACTTAGACTCCCCTCGAAGTCAGTTTGACGGAGCCACTTTTAAAGACTTTATCTCAGAGGAAAGTTGTTGTCTTGGCTTGTTTGCCAACAGGAGACTGTAAAGGTTTAGTCCACTGCGTCTGGCCTAACAGTGGACAAACTCACAGCATTCCTGGGTGTTGAGTCCGTGTATTTTTACCATATTTGTTCTTTGCAGCGGATATCAGGTGTCCTTTTTCGCCAGCTTGTTGTCTGTCAGACAGTGTGATGAGATCACTATCGTTTGATTGGTTTAGAGATCTCACTCTCAGTTTCCACCCTAATGAGGCTGTGGTCCCACCCACATTTAGCCCAAAAATTCTCATTGTTGTCCCCAGTTCTCTGAGGCACTACTAATCAAAAACTCAGGAAATCGCAACATTCACCAAAATATGGGTTGATCCTTTTGGTACCTTTCAAAAAATCTCTTTACAAACACTCTGCATGCAAAATTAGACAGTAGTAACTTCACACAGTAGTGAAATATGTACAATTGCAAGGATACAGTGTCACTAATGCGAAGTACCAACAGCTATATGAGTGCTAATAGCACCCCCTTGTGGAGAAACATGTACCTGCTAAATGTGAGTGAGGTAGATAGATAGGAGGGAAGTGCACGGTACTCGAGTACTTGGATAAACGCAGGGAATGGTACAAATGAGGAGGCCGGTCACTAGTTGAGGTAAGAATGGGAAAGTCCCGAACTTCAATAAAAAGAGCCGATCAGCTTGCTGGTTACATGGTTGGTGGAGAAAGACTCCCTCTCAATGTGGAGATCTGAGCAAGTGTGGTAGCCAGATGAAGCTGTGAAGTCATTTTTTTGTGCATTATTGAGCCAAACGCTACAAAGTTTTTATGAGGCTTTTGTCAGATTTTATCAGTGACATCAAATATGGTTTTTAAACGGTCATTTGACCTTCAATTTCGAGTATTTTGGTCTCTTTGCATTCAAAGAGATAGCCAGGTATACCTGGAAATAACTGCCCGGCGGCGTTGCGAAGGTGGCCTCCAAGTGATCAGACTCTCCTACATGGAGACAGTCCAGGTGCCAGTTTTCCAATACTGAAATCACTATTTGGGTACTCGCTATGTTTCATCATGGGGGTACATGACCTGTTTGTGAATAATGTTACGGTACACTTTGCTACACCGAAATACGAGTTCTTAAACGTGAGCGCGTTGCTGAGTCTGTGTTGTTAAGGACATAGCTAAGAAGGCCTAGCAGCTGTATTGCTAACTAGGCTAACTGCTCTGGCTGATGTTAGCTAGGTCCAGAAACAACGAACGTGCTGGCACATCATTCCCTGAGGAGAAAATACCTTGTTTTGAGTCCTTATCAACATCCAACGTGACACTTATTAGCTCTATTAGCTCATCTGAAGGGGCAGCCTCTGCTACTCATCCTTTTTGAGCAATGAAGCATTATATTCTGCGCAGCACCAGCGCTGTCAACCTGAAAAGGTAACCCTACAGCTTCTGGCCAAAGTCTCTATTTTGGGGGGTGTTTCGATGGTCTTTTTCCTTCTCTGCCGTTAACTTAATATCGTCTGTGAACTCTTTTGTGCACTTGAATATCAAAATTAGTCCGAATGCACTTCTAATAGACGTTAGCTGTCCGTTAAAGCTGCTTTGAGTTGAACAGCCAGGCAGGTGCCTCACTAGACTCATTAGCTTTGCAGTAATGTTGAAAGAGTGAAGTAGCTCAGCACTGTTTTGGTTCGTGATCAGTTAATATTGCATAATCAGGATACACAGCTGAATCAGCAGCACATTCTTGAAGCTCTGTGAGTGTGTGTGTGTGTGTGTGTGTGTGTGTGTGTGTGTCTGTGTGTGTGTGTGTGTGTGTGTGTAGGCTTATAAGGCTTTGTGCTTGCCTTGTCAGAGATGACAGGCCTTCACTCTGTAATGCGCATTCTCGGCGGCTATGGAACCGACCGTCCCCGCTGCAGATACAGACACACAGTGCCTTTGTCTTGCAGCTGGGTTGTGCGATGTGTGTGTTTTTGTGTAGCGAGAGGTGTGTGTTTGTGTGTAGAGATCGTGTGGGATGTTTCCCAGCTGAAAAGCTTGAAAGGATCCACAGTTCCCCAGGCAGCTCCATGCCAGCCGTGAAGTCTGAACACTCCTACAGATTCAGCATGGAGCTCACAGTGATCGCTGGGTGTCTTCTAGTCTCGCGGGGCCAGATGTGATCTCGTAATGAGAAGATGCGTCCGAAGACAACTCGTTAAATCTGCTGAAAATGAGGACAGGCACCCTCTAAAACCCACCCCCCCCAGTGCCCCTAGTTCATGCTCTTTTAACGTCCAGAGTACACAAGCAAAACAAGATAGCTAGCGAAACATTATCATGTGTTCTCTGCACCCATGGATCACATCTGCATGCGAAGTCACCTCCAGGGAACCACTTTTGAAGGTGTTAACTAAGAAAAGAGGTGTCTTGGCTTGCCTGGCCTAGCTGTGGACAAATTCTTCAGTGTTGAGTCCATGTATTTTTACCATATTTGTTCTTTATAGCGGATATCGGGTGTCCTTTCTGCAGGCTTGGTGTCTGTCGGACAGTATTTACAGGTGCACTACTGTGTTTCTGCCCAAACGTAACCCAAATATTCTCATTGTTGTCCCCAGACGCGTATTCTCGGTATGATATCGCGCCTGGCTGTGTGACACTAAGAAAGAAACCTCAGGAAATCGCAACATTCACCAAAATACGAGTTGACTCTTTTGGTACCATTCAAAAATTCTTCTCGCAAACACTCTGAATGCACAAATGTAACAGTAGTAACTGCACACAGTCGTGAAATATATAACAAGGACACAGTGTCGCTAATGCGAAGCAGCAAAAGCTATATTAGTGCTAATAGCACCCCCTAGTGGAGAAACGTCAGCCTGCTAAATGTGAGTGAGATAGACAGATAAAGGATAGGAGGGAAGTGTACACGAGTATCACATGTTGCATGCTTATTTGGAGGTTTTTGCTGGGTTTCATCTTTCGTTAAGCGTATGAACTATAGTCGTGGACTGCACCAATATGACACTGTGTTGATATTACCGTCGATACTGGCACTTAAACACAGTATCAGTATTGGCAAGGTGGATGCTGATACCTATGATTTGATACCGCAAAGCAGTTTCTGACATGCACACCTTAATAGACGGAACCTAACAACACTTCGGCGATGTGGTTTGAGAAGCAGAAGTAAAAATGCTCTTGTGTGTGATGTACTGGTTCGAATTTTTTCTAAGCTGATGGTTTCACTGATATGTTACAAATACACCAGATAAAACCAAAACAAAAAAGTAGACACCCTGCGTGTTTAAGGTGGTGACTAATTTTTTGTTCGGGGAATTTGAGAATAAAAATTGCTTCACTTCCAGGGAAGAACTGCTTCTAAAAGTCAGTGCAGGTCTTTCACAACCAATTTCTGAAAGGACACTCCGCAGGGAAGTCGTGAAACACATCAGCAGTCCATGTCTGTCTGTTTCGTCTGTTGGCCACAATTCTGAAGAGAATTTCCTGTAGACTGGAATTTTTGCTGCTGCTGGTCGACCCATATGACCGTACGCTTCTATACACCTGCAAATTCAGCTACGTCCCTCACACTGTGGCCTTTGGCATGCCCAAATGCATTCACTTCTTTTGGCCAATCATTAACGTCTGCGTTGCAACCCATTTTCCGCACACAGAATGATACATTCGCTGCACTGTACCACTTTTTCTCAATCTATGAATCCCGTCACACACCCCGCAGGTATTTATAGCCCGATCATCCTCATGCAATGCCATCTGCAGGAGCCTGAGGTTACTACCACCTTAAACACGCAAGGTGACTACTTTTTTTGTCCAGGGAGCTTATAAACAGCGTAAAAGCAGTCTGAGTTGATGTTAGTTTCGGTTGTTATCGAGGGAGCGAACGTTGCACGATTGGAAGGAACTGCTGCTCTCTTGGGGTAATAACAGCCTTTAAACTTGATTTAGCC